GAGAGAGAGAGAGAGATTGAGACTAGCCTGAGTTACACAGTGAGACACTGTACAAAAACACAAAACAAACAATAGTTACAAGGCCAGTGTCCCTGTAAAGCTGATTTAGGAGAATAGGCTTCTTTTGTTTTTGTTTTCAGAACTTCTGTGTCTCTTGGGTTAAAAAATAATGTTCTCCCTCCCTGGCCATTTTTGCGGCTGCTCTTGGTTGGGGGCTGTCTGGCACCTAAGGCAGGAAGATGATGGCCACAAAGAAGATCAACTCTAGGCTCCAGCTTGTTATGAAAAGTGGGAAGTACATGCTGGGATACAAACAGACTCTCAAGATGAACAGATAGGGCAAAGTGAAGTTGGTTATTCTGGACAACAACTGCCCGACATTGAGGAAATCTGAAATAGAATACTATGCCATGTTGGCTAAAACCCGTGTCCATCACTACAGTGGCAATAACATTGAATTGGGCACAGCATGTGGAAAATACTACAGAGTATGCACACTGGCTATCATTGACCCAGGTGACTCTGACATTATTAGAAGCATGCCAGAACAGACTGCTGAGAAGTAGTGAACCAGAAAAGCCTTCCTTTAATAAAACCACCAGAGCTCTTATAATAATAATAATAATAATAATAATGACCACCTCTAAAGCTGGAGAGGCCACAGGATCCAGCCCTTTCACCATGTTTTGGAGCACTTGAGCATACATCCTAGACACAACTGAAAATTTTACTAAAAATATTACTCTCAGTAGTCTCATTTTTAAAATATAGAAATTAAGGCTAAAAGAAATTAGGTAAATTATATGTGTGTGTATTTTTTAAATTTGGGGGACAGATATGGCTCATGGCTGTAATCCCAGCATTTATGAGGCAGAGGCAGGAGGATCAGTAATTCAAGGCCAGCCTTGGCTACAAAGAAAGTCTAAGGTTACCCTGACTATATGAGAACATGTCTCAAAAACCTAACAACAACAAAAATCTAATTAAAAATCAGGTTTTAGCTAAGCATGGTATTATACACCTTTAATTACAGCACTAGGGGGGCAGAGGCAGGGAGCCTCTGTGAATTCAAGATCAGCCTAGTCTACACCACAAATTCCAGGCCAGCCACAGCTACATAGAAATTAGTTTTTAGGTCGGGAGTGCGGCTCAGTGGAGGAGCAAATGTTTCCAATGAGTGAGACCCTGGGCTCAGTGTCAACACTGAAAATAAAATTATTTGACCCTATGTAGTGCAGCTAAGATTGAGTGCAAGGTCAAACCCACAGTCCTTTCATGAGATATTCATCCTCCCAAGGTCAAACCTTGGCCTGACCAGAACCAGCCTACAGGCCAAAGGAGGAGACTTTTCATCCCTGAAGTCCTAGGAAGTGTTTGCCTCCCCAACATGCCCTCACCTGTCCCCCACAAAGGGATAGCACTCAGTCTGGCTCCCCACAGCAGTCTCCCTTAGGGAAGGGGTAAGACAGAACCTATGTCCTCTGAATTCAGGAAACTGCTTTCCACAGATCTCTGCCGAGTGGCAGGAGTGGACTGGAGGGGGAGTGGGCCAGAGCCCCTTGCCGATGGTTGCACAGATGATCCGTGTGTGTTGAGCCTTCTTCCCTGACCTGTGTAGAAAGGTGACTCCTCTCCCTCCTTCCAGAAGATCAAGGTCTGGTTCTTAGGTTTTTAGGATTGACTCCTGGGCACAAGGACACAACAGGATAGAAGATGGAGGAAACACAAAGCTCTGGGCACTTTTGGACAAGCTGGCACAGAAAAGGCGCCCACACAGAAAGGGGAGTCAACCGAGAGCAGAGGACTGACCCAGGGCTCTGGAGAGTCAGACCCAGCAATACTGGTGGTGGAGGATAATAAAATAGTTCTGTTCAAGGGAAAGGGAGGACAAAGAAGGAAGTGGAAATACGCTGAACACCTGGCTCCTCACTTCTTACAATCTATGATTCGTTTTCTTGTTCTGGGATATGTGGGGACAGGGAGGGCAGGGACGGTGGGGGAGGAGGGAAGAGAGAGAGCAGAGGGAGAGGCAAAGACAGAGAGGATGAGAGAGAGAGAGAGAGAGAGAGAGAGAGAGAGAGAGAGAGAGAGAGAGAGAGAGGTGCTTGTGTCCCTGGGGTTTTTTCAGACAAAGCTATTATCGAAATGCCAACCAGTTCCTGCCTTGCTAATTTGCATATTCCATGCTGAGCTCTGGGAAGCAGGATGAATATGCATGAGAACTTGGGTACCAGTGTAGAGCTTCTGGGCTTCGGGGCTAAGGTGGCTCATTGTTCTTTAGCAGCAAGGCCTTAGAAAGCTGAAGCACCTTCTGGGTCAGCAGAATGGCCTGTGTTTCCCTCCCAACGAAGAAGAAGAGCAAACCCCAGGCCCAGACAGAAATCTAAACGATGACGATCCTCTCAGCCTCACAAAGAAATACATAATCAGGCACCATCAAGAATGGGAGTGTTTCTTCTCTAAAAGTAGCGTATAATTACTCCCCTCTCATGCATGCTAATCATGGAGGCTGGCTCAGGGATAAGAGTCACCTGCCTGGGCTTCCAGGAAATGAGGTTCCTCCCTTTACTTTTTGCTGTCTCAACAGGAAAAAATGGGTGCTCACTCTGGAATGCCCCAGCTTTCAGCCTCCTATATGGTTCCTATAATGCCTTGGGTAACCAGGCTATAGTGGGAGAATCTAGGGTATGGTGGGTGTTCAACCATGCCCATGGGACAGGTTCAGTCAAGTACTTGAAGATTTAAGTTATAATACATTTTTTTGTTTGGTTGGGTTTTTTGTTTTGTTTTTTTTTTTTTTTTTTTTTTTTTTTTTTGATTTTTCAAGGCAGAGTTTCTCTGTGTAGCTTTCGCTGTCCTGGAACTAACTCTGTAGATCAGGCTGGTCGGGAACTCACAGAGATTCACCTGCCTCTGCCTCCCGAGCACTGGGATTAAAGTCATGTGCCGCCACCACGCCCAGCTCAAGTTATAATACATCCTAAGGCCATGGGGTTGGTGCTGGGGTATAGATCAGTTGGAAGGGCATCATGCCTATCTTGGGAAGGCTGTGATCTATGCTCACTCTTTGACAGTCAGCTCTTTATGACTACCAACTGAAGATGGTTCTTCTACTCCAAACATTGAAGTATAAGTGGAAAGGCCTTATTTTATAATTTCACAGAAAAATTCCAATTCATCCTATAAAACTTGGGGCCATAAAATGCTTGCCATGTTGTTTTTTTTGTTTTTTGTTTTTTGTTTTTTGTTTTTTTTTTCTTCCTGAAGGATCACGGCTGTCTCCCATCCTTAGACAGAGAGATTGGAGAAATGCTCATCCCCACCCCACTCCCAACATGTGCTCCCACTCCACATAATTAAAGGCTGGCCTCCAGCCCATGATGAGTTTTCTTCCCAGGACTTGATCAGTCTAGGCTCAGAAAAATCTTTTAATAGAAACTCACTTGAATTCAGGGACCTCCCAGCCACACACCCCCTAGTCTACCCCAGAGGCTCCTATAGACGGGACTTTCCACTACTGATTTAAGTGTGGGTTTTGTGATAAGTGTGACAGATCCTGAAATGCAGCTCTCCATCTGGGCTTCCCCTCCACCCCTCCTTGCTCTGGTACCCAGAACGAAGAGTGGAGAGGAAGCCTGAGGAGAGCACTGGTTTCACCTGCTAACACAGGGTTCTGGCTCCATTCAGAGCGCTAGCAATGCTTTGCCAAAACTTGATGTAAATGCTAGCTACAGGGAGGGTTTGGATAGACAGGGATTTTTGTCTCTTTTCTAGGTGTGGTCAGTACTGTTGGACACCAAGCTTTGGCTCACAGGGATAGAGGGAAGGAAGGGCAGGCAAGTGGTACAAAATCTTGAGGTATGGTTTTCACGTGCTCCCTCAACTCCTGCTGCAGAGAAGTTGACAAAATCAAGGCACCCTTCTCCCCCTTTCTGATAACCTTCTCCTAGAATGGGAGAGTCCCAGACACTTGAGGGTTATTTTTAACTAACACTGGCTTTGATTAGCTTGTCACTGGCTGCTATAGACACCTGCTGGCAGGATAAATTGGGGGAAAGTGACTGACCCAGATCTGATGTACCAAAAGCAGGAACTCTTCTCTCTCTCTCTCTCTCTCTCTCTCTCTGTGGGTGTGTGTGTGTGTGTGTGTGTGTGTGCGCGCGCGCGCGCGTGTTCATTATTTCCCTTTTGCTGAAACTGATGAAAAACCCTACAACCGGCAAAGCAAAATGTTAAGCTTCCAAATGGTCTCAGGATCTCATGCCACCAGTGACATTTGGCATCTGTAACCTTAGGGCTGTTTCTGTTGTTGCTGTTGTTGGGTTTTTTTTTTTTTTTTTTGGTCAAAGGCATAATATCCGTGTCACTGTATAGATTCTGATTTGTATGTGTGCTTTGTAGTCTCTCCCACCTTGTCTGGCAGCCTGGGTGTTCTCTCTGTGTGTTCTCTGTACAGCTTGGTGCTATGAACACACACAAGACAGAGCAACAGGTTCTCTGACAGCTTCCTGGTAAAGTAAGTACCTCCTCCTTTGCTTCCCATCCACCCTCAAAATTTGCCTCTTATCTGCTTCAAGAAAACCAGAAGCCTGGAAAATGAGTGGCAGAGAACCCACTCTTCCTTCTATTGTCACCCGTCGGGCTTCCTATGGAGTGGTTCCTGTGGTTAAGCAAGCACACGTCCCTAAGCATCAGTGAACATCTACTTGGATGAGCTCTAAGCGTCGGTCCCTCTCTCCTACCTCCTAAGTAGCCTGTGAATATGTGCCTGCTTTGGTTCTAGGTTAGTGGGATGTGAGACAATGTATAGAAAGTGATAGGGCTGGTAGTAGGCATGCAGTGACCGCCCTGTAAAACTTTTTTGTTTAGGAAGCATGGGAACTGGCAGTATTAGTGTCACTCAAGCTAGAAGATAAAAAGACAACGGAATTCAGGCTCTGCTCTGCTAGGACAGAGTCAGCATCCGGGCGGGATATGAGGGCAGCATTCGCCTGCTCTTGTCAAGGCGGCATGAAGGAGTTGGTACTGGTGTTCCTCAAGGATGCAGCAAGAAGGAGCAAAGTCACAGGATGCTGTTGTTCCCGTAGGTCCCTGAGGGCAAAGAGGGAGTGCTGACAAATCTCAGAGTAGGAAAAAAAGTGCATTCTTCCAGGTAGCTGAGGTAGCAGAGCTACCCCAGATAATACAACCAGCATTTGAAAGCAGCCATACATCATTTCCCTAGAGGGTTTGGAACAGGGAGCCAATGGACACCACTCTCCAAAAAGCATATTAATTAAATGAAGGTTTATTTCAAAATTAGTCTTAGAGTATAAGCTGGGTTGAGGGCTGGAGCCAGACTACATAATGAGTGGTGAGGGTACCTGCCTTCCCCAACACAGGTGGGCAGGAAGCAGTGTCACCGGCCCTGTGCCCGATCATGCATCCAATGGTTACTAGCACTAGAAGCCAACAGCAAAGGACCCCGCGCGGTTGCTCATGTTTAATCCAGGTTAAGCTATACACGTTTAAATACACGCCGGAGGTTACGTGGTGTCATGCAATCCCAGTGATGGAATGACTTTCTTGCTCAGTGACCTCCTGCAGTGAGGCTGCTCCCAAAGGTGAGGTTAGGTTGGACAGAGCACTGGAAGGAGAAGAGGACAGAGGTCATACGGGGGTCACACTGCACAGAGAGCCACCCCCAAGGACCAGGGAATGGTTGCAGCCCTGAGTCATCCTTCTAGGAACAGAAGAGAATGACAGGTGTCTGTCACTATGAGCAAGCTCTGCAGCCTCCAGGGTCTGTGGATCGAATGCTGAGACTTGCCTGGCACACTAGGGTGTGCCTGAGCTACCTATAGGGTTGCTGAGAAACTATAAAATATGCTCCATAAATATTAACTACTTTCATAAATTCACTGACATTTCAGGGGGTCACAGCCTAGCCTTCAGATCATCAACCTCATATAACCCATCTTGACACACTTCTTTGAAAAACTTCTATTCTTGAAAAGTCTTTAAGGGTCATGAGTTCTTCCTGGTTTTTAACCTAAATTCTTCCTATTAAGATTTAATATTAGTCCCTCTGATCCTCATAGAAAGAGTACAGTTTGGGATCTTATAAGCAGGTGCCATAAGCCTTTTGCAACTCTTCTAGGTTTTGTGTGGATGTGAAACAAGAACTCAAAGGTGATGGGTCCAGACAATGTGTGGTCATCAATGGCCAGTAGCATACACAAAAGAAGACAACCAGACAGTGTAGGGCTCCTCATAGGGGTCTGCAACAACCCATCATGTGGTTGGTATTTAGCAAAAGTCCTGAGCCTGAGCTCATCAGGCCTCTTGTTCTATCACTTACAATAAATAAAGGAGACAGATGAATTGATTAAATTATACCTTGGGCTGAAATTAGGAAGAATCTAGGACAAAGACATTCTATAATTTAACAAATGAATTTAAATAATGAAGAGGAAGGAAAGGAAGGCTATATATGTTTTGTGGGGTCTTTTGTTTTTTGTTTTTTAGAGATGTGTTATTGGCTGAGCATGGTGGTGATCCAGCACTTGGGAGGCGCAGGCAGGAAGAACAGGATGTCAAGGTCTTCCTCAGCTACAGAGAGGGTTTGAAACCAACCTGGGATGCCTGAGATCCTTGGAGATATGGGGAAGGCAGAGACACAAAGACAGACAGAGACAGACTTAGGAGATAAATCATCAAACTTCATGGACCTTCATCAGGTCCTGATGCAAGAAAATGGATTGAAAACACTATATGAGAAAACCAAGGTGATCTGAACAGTGATTAGGTCACCAGTGACACACACGATGCTTAATTTTGTCGTTATAGCCTTCCCTCTTCCCTTTTCATTGTTCTGGAAACGGAGCCCAGGGCCTCATATTTGCTAGGCAAGCACTCTACAACCAGTCACCAGCCCCAGCCCTAACTCTTTAGTTGTGATAATGACATAATGGCATTATGTCAATTCTCAGGTTTTAGAAATCTACACTAAGATATTTATGAATAAAAAAAATACTAACAAATATGCTTCAAAACAAAGTTGTTGGCTAGAAGTATAAGACTTGTGTGGCTGGAGAGATGCCTCGGAGGTTAAGAGCACTGGCTGCTCTTCCTGAAAACCCAGGTTCAGTGCCTGGAGTTCTCATAACTCATAACTCCTTTCCCAAGAGACCTGACACCCTCTTCTGGCCTCTTTGGACACACACAAGGAGAACAAACACATGCATGGAAAACATCTATACACATAAAAATAAATAAAAGTTAAAAAATGAAAAAGACTAGCAGTGAGTTAATCCCCTTTACTGTTGCCTGCACTGAAAACTTCCATTGTAAAATGTTCAAAAAGAAATTACAGGGCAGAAAGCTGTGGCTCAACAAAAGGATGCTCGCCTAGCATGTTTGAGCCCCAGGCCTCCAGCTATACTCCCACCCGTAAAAAGTTACGAAAAGACAAACTTAATCATGACACCATTAGCCTTTCAGTACTTTCAGTATTAACTTATTTTCAGGCTTTGTTTTTTTCCAACTACATATGGTATGGCACAGAAGCCACAGGATTTCCACAGTAAGTTCTTCGTTGGTATCCTGTTCCTCATGAGGACACACTGGTGACCTGAAGTAGCAGAATTTCCCAAGGCCTGCTAGTGACACCCATTACAGTGAAGCTCTCGTGATGACGGTGTGGTTATGTGACCACTGCCTGGTTGGACGGGGGGGGGGGGGGGCATTCTATGGGGGGTACAATTTGACCTCCACAGCTAGAACCGGAGCCCAGAGGCCCCCTTCTGTGCAGGGAGGGGGCCAGCTGCTCTCACCTTTTAAAATGTAGTCCGTTAGCAAAGTAGGCACCTTCTCATTATCCTCCTTCATGGCGAAGAGAACTAGAGAAGGAGAAAGAGGGAGATAGGGGCTCAGACACTATCAGGGTACGGAGCTTGCTTCTAAGGCTAGACAACTTCACCCTAAGCAAGAAAGAAATTATCTGAGGAAACCTGGTGTTTGTTGATCATAAGTAGACACAACCCTCTACAAGCTTCCAAGAGTTAGTGTTCTTGGGGTGAGAGAGAATACAGAGAGCCATGGGGTGGTTTCTAGAGTGATTTCTTTCAATTTTCCCCTTTTGGCTCATCTATAACTTCCATACATCTACCAAATGTGTATCTTTAATAAAAAGGAATGAAGCAATGGCCCAAAATAATAAAATCAGTTTTTGGACACAGTCAACCTAAATGTTCGATATTAATTGATGAATCACTAATATAACTGTGCTGTTTGTTTTGTTTTTGAGATAGGGTTTCACTGTGTAGCCCTGGCTGGCCTGGAACTCACCATGTAGACCAGGATAGCCTCAAACTCACAGAGCTCCACCTGCCTCAGCCTCTGGAGTGCTAGAATGAAAGACATTCCCCACCATGCCCGGTTATGAAACTGTCTTTAAGGATATTCTACTCACATAAAAAAAAAATGTTAGCGCAACAATCCTCACCTCCAATTTATTGAGCACAAATTAATTTTATTCAACAAACCTTTATTCTATGTTCTGTCCTGCTGGGAGGAAATGAAGTCCTGGGTGAGTGTGCTTTGTTGACATGAATACAGCCAGGTCAAGAACCCTGATGCCTCAGACCCAAGCGAATGGATGTTATGAATCATTGACCCTCAGCTAAAAACAGTACATGCAAGAACTGTCAGTCACACCTTCCTCCTTCCCTTGACTGCAACCTGAAACTGCTCTCCTACAGATCTCACCCTTGGGTGACCAGATTCACCCTTGTTCAGCTGTATGCTCTAAACCCACTTCCTTGATTCAGAAGTATACATTTTTTGTTTGTTTGTTTGTTTGTTTTTCTCTGTATTGCTTTGGAGCCTGTCCTGGAGCTAGCTCTGTAGACCAGATCACATAGATGTACCTGCCTCTGCCTCCCAAATGCTGGGATTAAAGGTGTGTGCCACCAATGCCCAGCCAGAAGTATAAAATTAATGCACTGAGTTTCCAGGCTTCTGCTGGTATATCTCCATTAGACTACATGGCCCACCCAACTCCAGCTTTTCTGTCTGTGTGTCTGTCATTTCTTCATTCCTCATTACTCAAGTCAGATGAACTCCAAAGCCATGGAGGTCATAGCAGTGTCCATTAGTGTGTTATGTAGAACAGATCTGTGGACTCCCAGGGAGCCTTCACAGCTCTTGCTGAAATACCTACTTGACTTATACAAGAAACAAACAATAGGAAAACTTTTAAAACATGAAGGCTTTTAAGGAATATTTTCATGAAAGTCTTAAAATTACATTTTTTAGGGGTGAGACTGTAACTCAATGGTAGAACATTGGTCTAGCAAATGTAAGGCCCATGTTCCATCCCCAAACAAATAAATCCTTTACTGTTAATTAAATAATGTGTTCTCGTGTTCACAACCTATATTATAGAAATCAACTAGAGAAAATTCTGCAAGAATGTGTCTGAGCCTTATTTCTAACTGCAACAAAAGTATCCAACAGTAGACTCCTCACCAATCAGCTTCCTTAAATAGACTAAATAGTCTATGTGGTCATATACCACCTTATGAAAATGAGATGAGCTGTAGAGATGGCTCAGAGGTTAAGAGCACTGGCTGCTCTTCCAGAGATCCTGAGTTCAATTCCCAGCAACCACATGGTGGCTCACAACCATCTGTAAAGGGATCTGATGCCGTCTTCTGTCATGCAGGCAGAACACTGTGTGCATAATAAATAAACAAATCTTTTTAAAATGAAGAAAATGTGATTATATATATATATATATATATATATATATATATATATATATCAGACTTATCAGTGAAGAAGGCTGAAATACATGTGTTAGCTTTATAACAAATATATTCCAAACGCAGAAAAGTCTAGAAGAGTGCATGAAACAGTTAAGCAGTCAAGTGTGAGACCACAGAGGATGTTTCTTCTGGAACTGTTTCTATACTAGTTCTCCTCAATGAACATATTTCACTTTTATAAACAGGGTGAACAGTGAGGATCAGTGGGCCCCGAGTTAGGAGGCAACTATGACAAGAGTAGGATCCCAGATCTGCTTCCAGGATCCCAGTTCCATGTCCATGTTCTCCTGGTTTTGAGTCTGGGTGATGAAACTTGGAACAGGGTCAGAACCAGGTGAAGAACAGGACCCAATATGATGATATAAATCACCAGCCATGATCTTGGGGAAGAGATTGAACCCATAGCCTATCAGGGTTTTGTTTCCTTTATGTTTTAGGATTTATAGTCATTTCAACAGAATTAGATGCTGGGGATCCTGGTTTCTTCTGTTTGCTTTCTGCTGCATCTAAAAAAAATTCAATTACATGTACTGTGGTGGGTGCGTGTGTATACCAGGTCATGAATTTGAAAGTTGAGGACAACTTGTGGGAGAACTTGTTCTCTTTTACCATGTAGTCTCAGGGATGGAACTCAGGTCCCCAGGCTTAGTGGCAATGGCCTTTACCTGTAGAGCTATCTTTCTGGCTCTGTGCTGTATTTTTAGATGCAAATTCAAGGAGAGGTGGTTCAGCATTTAAGAGCACAGACTACTTTTCCAGAGGCCTCAAGTTCATTCCCAGAACCCACATGTTGGCTCACAACCATCTGCAACTGCAGGTTCAAGGAATCTAATGCCCTTTTCCCTCTAATGCATGCAAGCCATACAGGTAGGCAGAACACCCATACACATCAAATAATAAAATAAAATAAACTGCAGGAAACTGCAACTATCTGGAAAGCTTGTAAAATACAGTTTTCCATACATGATGATGTGGGAAATGAATGTTATTGTTTGTTCTGAAATGTCCCTCAAGTGTTCATGCATTGAGATTTGGTTTCTAATTCAGGACTGTTCACAGGCGGGGCTTTGAGGACATGACTGGATCATGAGGGCTCTGAATGCACTAATAGGTTCACCAATGCACTAATAGGTTCACAGTTTGATGGGCTATCAGCAGGTGATGGAAACTTAGGAGGTGAGACCTAGATAGAATATGAGTTCTTGAGGGCACGCCCGTGGGGCGCTCTGCTTTCCCAGCAGCCATGAGATGAGCAGCTCTGTGCTGCTGTGCCCTTTCCTCCACGACACTCTTAAGCCAAGCAGATGGACCGGAACCTCTGAAGCACTGAGTCAAAATGGCCCTTCCCTCCTAAAAGCTGTTTCTCAGGCATCTTATCACAGTCACGTAAAACTGAATTGCTTTGTTCTCTTTTCCATATTCCTACAGTATTCTAATGATGGGACACTGGCTATAATTTAAAAATGACTTTGTGTGTGTGTGTGTGTGTGTGTCTGTGTGTGTCTGTGTGTGTATGTATGTCTCTCTCTCTCTCTGTGTGTGTGTGTGTGTGTGTGTGTGTGTGTGTGTGTGTGTGCATTCGAGCCATGGGGCCTATGTGGAGATCTATAAAATTGGTTCTGTCCTTCTACCTTTATGTAGGTTCTGGGACCTGAACTCAGATCACCAGGCTTGCACAGCAAGTGCTTTTACCCACTGAGCCATCTCACTGGCACTATACTTTTTTAATGAATTGAAAAATATAAAACTGTTTTACAAGAGAGAGAACTGCACTAGCTTTCTGTATATGGGTCAGTGGGGAATGAATAGTTCTTCCCTCTTTCAAGAGTCTGGTTAAGAACTTCACATACAGCAACCTTTGAAATTTGTCCAAGTTATCTTTCAAATGTTTACTGCTGTGAAAAGACAAGCACCAGCAGATGCTGGCTCTCTCTCTCTCTCTCCCTCCCCCCCTCTGTGTGTCTGTGTGTGATACTGAACACCAAATGTGTGAGCCTTGTGCTTGTGAATGCTTGGCAAGTGCTCACCACTGATCTATACCATGGGACTGAAAAGAGGTTGTACTTGATGTTCTTGTAGAAGACCTAGGTTGAGTTCCCAGCCCACATGGCAACCCTCAACTTCCGAACCTCAAATTCTATGGAGTATTCTTCTGACCTCTTCACTGTACACATGTGAGACACTCACATGTGAACAAAAACCCTCACACACATGAAATAACAATAAATCTTTTTAATTAATTAAGAAAATTTGTGGCTGCTGATTGGTGGTGGCATACACCTTTACCAGGAAGGCAGAGGCAGGTGGATCTCTGAGTTCAAGGCCAGACTGGTCTACATAGTGAGTTCCAAGACAGCTAGGACTAAACAGAGAAAAATCTGTGTCCAACCCATACACACACACACACACACACACACACACACACACACACACACACACAAAGAAGAAGAAGAAAAAGAAAAAAAGAAAGAAAGAAAGAAGACCTATGGCTGGGCATCATATCGGTCTGCACCTATAATCCCATACTCAGGAGTCTTGTTAGGTCAATGGAGTTCATAGATAGCCTGGGCTAAATAGTAAGAACATATCTCAAAAATAAGAAAGAAGGAAAGGAGGGATGGAGGGAGGGAGGGAGGGAGGGAGAGAGGGAGGGAGGGAGAGAGAGAGGAAGGAAGGAAGGAAGGAAGGAAAAAGAAACAGCTCTCAAAAAAACGAAACAGCACGTGAGGCATGATTGTGCACACCTTTGACCCCAGCACTCAGGAGCCAGAGGCAGGCAGATCTCTGTGAGCTCCAACACAGCCAGAGCTAAGTAGAGAGACCCTGTCTCAAAACAAAAAAGGCAGTGGGTTGGAGATAGCAGGTGGGATGGTTCAATGGTTAAGAGTACTTGCAACTCCGCCAGCAGTTGGGAGGCAGAGGCAGGGAAGCTTGAGGTCCGATGATCTACAGAGTGAGTTCCAGGACAGCAGGACTAACTTTGAGGGATAGAGAGATGGCTCAGTAGTTAAGAACACTGACTGCTCTTCCAGAGGACCCTGGTTCAATTCCTAGCACTCACAACTGTCTATAACTCCAAGATATGACACCCTCACACAGACATACATGTAGGCAAAACATCAATGCACATAAAATAAAAACTTTTTAAATTATAAAAAAAAAAGTACTTGCAATTCTTGCTAAGGACCCAGATTCAGTTCCCAGCACCCACATGAAAGCTTACTCTGTAACTCCAACTCGGGAAGATCTGATATCCTCATGAAAGTGGTGTGCATATATATACATGTAGGCAAAGCATTTTTGCACATAAAATTAAAACATACGCTAAAATAAAAAGCTGGACCTGGAAGAATAAACCTCAGCCTAGAGACTGAGGCAAGAGGACAGCAAATTTGAAGCCTGCCTGGGTCACATAATGAATACAAGGGCAGTCTGAGCAATTTAGTGAGCGAGCACTTGTCTCAAGGTTATAAAGCAGAGAACATAGCTGTGGAGTAGCACGCACAAGTCCCTAGGTTCGATCCATAGTACTGAAAAACAAATCTCAGTGCATATTTATAAAAATGTAGAAATCCACACAGCAGATGAATGCACTTTGAAGTTAAAATTCCTTATTGTCAGGACATGATGGCTATGGATGCTGGCAAGATCTGTTTGCGATGCCCTCCTGCTTTTGTTCTCTAGATGGACAAAAAGGAAGCCTTTCTTCACCCTTAACCTGGGGATGAGGGTAGAGTAAGAGAACACCTGTCTTTCTAGACTGAGCAAAGATCCCTCTCCCCTCCTCTAGCATGACCAATATAGCCTTGCACTGGCCCACCCCCTCCAGGACAGCCACCAGTGCACTGTGCAGCCTTGTGAGCTGTCCTTTGGTAAGCTCGGTTACCTGGAAAAATAGGACTTCTATGTGATCCACTGAGTGTGTCACCCAGTCTCAGCCTAGGATTTTCTCCTCCTAAGAAAGCTGAGAGGGTACTGCTATCGGGCGCTGGCCCTTTGGGGGCTGTTCTGTTTCATATACAAACACAGGTAGATGAAATCTGCCTACAAACAGTGCTTTATCACACGTTGCTTCTCCCCCCCACAGCTCAAAATATCAATGCAGAAAAAAGCAGCTTAAGTGAAGGAAAAAAAAAAAAAAAAAAGGAAAACTAGACTCAATTCTTCCTGAGCAGCTTCGCCCTACCGCAAAAGCCTTACTTCACATTAATAGCTCTATGACCCAAGAGAGGCCCAGATGTGGACAGCTGAGGTGGAGAAGACAAAGCTCAGGGAACTGAGGGAAAACAGAAAACCCTGTCCACCCCACCCTCCTAGTCCCTCCCCACCCTCAAAAACAAACAAACAAACAACAAAACAAAACAAAACTGGGGGCCACAGCAGAGTATTGAAATTTTCGCCTTGTTCAAAAGGACATATGTAATATGTGGAGAATTTTGCCCCATGTAAAGTCATCCTAGAGAAGCCTGGAAACTGATGACAAGAGGTGCACGGAATGGAGGGGTGACACCCTAGGCCTGGGGCCGAGGAAGAAGAACTCACTGTTTGTCAGCATCTGCAGGTCTTCCACGGAGGGAGGACAGGATTTCTTCTCGTAGGGGATGACTGTGTTCAGATACTGCCAAGACAAACAGGGTGGGCAGAGCCGGAGTCACTTGTCCCTCTTGGGCTGAGGCACAGTGGGCAACTTCCACAAAGACCATGCTTTTCTTTATAATCTGGGTAATACTCATCATCACTAGCACACTGATACTTCAAGACTTTCTTCTTGTATTATATCTTTCCGCATGTATTATATCTCTAAAGTAAGGTTTCCCCATATTAAATTCCCCTTGCCCTAACTTGTACATTCTTTTTGTCTGCTTGCTTCTTTCTTTCTTTTTTTTCAAGACAGGTTTCTCTGTGTGTAGCTCTGGCTGTCCTGGAACTTGCTCTGTAGACCAGGCTGACCTCAAAGAGATCCACCTGCCTCTGCCTCCCAAGTGCTGGGATTAAAGGTGTGTGCCACCACTGTCCAGCTCAATTTCTACATTCTTCCTTTAAGTTTTTTTCTTTTTTTTAAGACTTATTTATTATGTACACAGTGTCCTACCTGAAGGTAAACCTGCATGCCAGAAGAGAACACCAGATCTCATTATAGATGGTTTCAAATCACCATGTGGTTACTGGAAATTGAACTCAGGACCTTTGAAAGATCAGCCAGTGCGCTTAACCACTAAGCCATCTCTCCAGCCCCTACATTCTTAATATGCCAACATCTTCTTGATTCTCAGAACCCTAGGGAGCTTTTCTCCTCCTGGATGATAACTGCAGGGGCAGTGAGTACAGTTTTATTCTTCACAGTGCAGTTTGAGAAGAAATTACTTCTCTTTTGTCAAATGACATATCCACCCCACCCAAAATCTTGACTGCCAGATTTCTTCCCTCCTATGACATAGCAAATCCTGAGGTATCCACCTAGTGGGCATCAAATACCAGAAATCCAGAGACCTTGTCAGGCTCCAAGGGAGCCCAAAGTGGTAAGTTCAAGACCAGGAATCCTGCCACTGGCCCTGGAAATCTGCTCTACAACTCTGGGCCCCGGTTCTCCCAGGAACAGAAAGGCTGCTTAGATGTTTCTAGTCTTCCAGGCTACAGTTGTAAAATTCTAACCCTTAGGATTCAGCTTCAACCACTGAAACAGCATACACACTTCATGATCACTTATCCCACACTTTGCAAAGTTGTCAGTGCACACACTGCCAAGTCCACTACATTTTCTACTCCACAGAGGTAGGTGGGGAGGCCCAGGACTTGTCATCTTTGCATCTAGCAACAGGTCACATCACATAACAGGCAAAGGTGTTGAAGGGGGAGATTATTTTGCAGGTCCTTAAAGGATATTAAGTGGCCAGGTGGTGGTGGCACACACCTTTAATCCCAGCACTCAGGAGGCAGAGGCAGAGGCAGAGGCAGAGGCAGGGGGATCTCTATGAGTTCCTGGAGTCTGTCCTGGAACTAGCTCTTGTAGACCAGGCTAGTCTCAAACTCACAGCATCCCCCCTGCCTCTGCCTCCCGATTGAGATTAAAGGCTTGTGCCACCAATGCCCGGCAAAACTTTGCTCTTTCTAAAGTTAATTGCCTCAGGTATTTCATTGCAATACTTCAAAGCTGACTACAAGTTACTGACAAACGGGAGGCAAGAAAGAGATGTCACAGCGTGACTTACAAGCAGAGCTGGAGGTTGAAGAGGCAGAACCGGTGGTACTCTCAGCTGGCTGTCCAATACGGTAGAACTGAATAAACTCTAAGATGGGATCTACTATGAAACACAACCCCCAATACACTTCATCTTTGTATTTTTGGTTGTGAACTGAGCCATCCCTCCAGCCTGCATTTCATTCTTAAAGCAAACTAATTCATAGATCTATATTAGGTGTTGAGTTTTAATCATGTCCCAGAATAAAAGATCTAAAACCAAAACAGCCTTTGAAAGGCATTTTCTGTGTCTTTCTTAAGAATGGAAGAAAATGTTAGGGCACCTCAGGCTTGCCCAAATTCTAGGGTGACTCTGTTGTGTCTCCACCCCCCTCTCATTTCCTGTGAGGAAGCTGAGCTGTTAGCTGTCTAGAAGAATAAAAGAGCAAATGGGCTGCACGTACCTGTCTGTCGGCTCCTGAGGAGCCGAAGGTCTGGCGGATGCCACTCTGCAGGATGTTGGAGATGCCTTCCATGCTGAAGCGCTAAGGAAGAGACACACTCAAGATGGTCAAAGGCTTCCTGGGCCAATGTCACCACCCCCAGGCACTTCTGTGTCCTTGCTCAAATGCTCATCAGCTACCACACTCCCCTAGATAAATGGCCACAATGACTAGAGAGAGAATTTAAGTCACTGACTTGAACACATAGGCCAGAATTTAAGCCAGAAAAGCTAGCAGTCTCAAAGATTCATCCTGGTAAGTCCTTAAAAGTTACAGGAGTCCTTGTGACTCTCTAGACACCCTCATTTCACCCTGTATCATGTAGAGAAGAATAAGACAGAACAGTGCGACTCTAGGGACTATGATGCAAAGATATTAGGGGGAAACAGACAGTGCAGCTATCAGGAAGGGTAGGTGTCCAGAAGTGGCCAGGTCCAGGAAAACTTCAAGAGCCACGTGGCCCAGGCCTCATTGAGTACATCTCTGATAGGGCTAGGCAAAGATGTGTTGAAAGCAACTTAGATAATTCTATGGACGCCATCCTGTCAATAATCAGTGGTCCATCTGTTCACTTTCTGGCATGGGATGGAGGGTGACCATTGCTGATTCTCAAAGTTCTAGCATTTCCACTTTGCGGATCATGAAAGTGTTCAGCTTTGATTTTTAATGACTGTCACTATGTGCTTGCTATGGGAGTCCCTTATGCCTTCCCTTTGGGAAATCTTGTGCAGGCTTTGAAGGATATAAATGAAGGATATAAATGAAGGATAAAATGTCAGCCTCTTTAAGCAAAGTAATTCTATGGGAAAAAATCCCCACCACCCTATAGGGTGATGGTTCTGCCGACTCTCATACAAGTTAACACCAAGCTGCTAGAGAATTTAGATACGTAACATATACTTGGTAAATAAAGTATATTTAATAATCAAGATGTATAAATTCCTATGGTCTACTCGGGCTCACAGTAATATTTGTCTAGCTTTGTCTTCACTCTAAGTTTTAGCTATCCAGGTAAACCAAGTCATACAAAATGCAATGTCGTATAATGGAGCGTCTGCTCCCTCCCCCACCTCCCAAAGAAAGTCCTTTTCCAAGGTCAGTAATTTAGACAAGTCTCCATTTCCTCAGGGGCCTAAAGAAAGTTCCTGCTTGCTAAAAATGAAGACATTCCTATCGCTGGCAGAAGGAATGTGTGGCCCTTTCAATAACACATGACATGCCTATTACTTTGTCAAGGTTAATGCTAGCTAGCTTCATCAACCCCTGATCTGAAGCCACACCCCAGCTCACATACCCCCTTTCTCTTATTTAATTCTATACAGTATAAAAGGTGTATTCTTTCTTCAATAAACATACTGGCAGCCATCCTGATTCGCCCTCAGATCCTGTCTGGCTCCCCCCACCCCATGCTGACTCTCCACACATTCTCTTTGGGACCTGAACCCCACCGAAGCAGGTCCCTAGCAATTTTCAGTCATTCAAATAGCCCAGCCAAGAGCCTGCACAGGCCTCAAGGGAACCAGCCTGGGCAATAATCCATGCCAAGGACAGGGATCCTGAGCTCTATCTTTTCAAGGAACAGCATGGGAGCACTTATTAATATTTATCCAGTATGTCTTCCACTTAGACCAGAGGCCTTCAGAGAAGCTGGACAGACAGGTGATAGCCCCTGCCTTCCTGACCCACTATCTGTCACAGCATTTTGCACATGGTTGGAACTCAGTAACTGTTTAGGGGTCCATTGCAGGGTAGGTACCAGGACATATATGTGATGGATAGGGCTCATGGCTGGCTGTGCCTAGTTTTCTGGTTGCTTGCCTACCTTGAGAGGCATCTGGTTTCCCTTCTCTATTCGGCTGCTCTGCAGGCTCAGCCCCTTCTCTTTCCGCCTCTTTTTCATCAGCTCCCGTTGCTCCTTCTGCTTGTTCTGAACCTCAATGAGCACCGTGATGAAGGAGTTCTTCACCTCCTTCTCAAACTCCAGCTCGTCTCTGCGAGCCAGCTGGTGAACCAGCTCCTCGGAGAAGTCACGGATGGCACCCTCCACCTGGTCCAGCAGCTCTGTCAGCTCAGACCCAGACATGTGCCTCAGCCCTAGGGAGGAAGATGGATTTGGTAGGTGATACCTACAGACAAGCATGAACCTGCTGGAGACGGGAACATTCTTAGAGGGAGCCCCCCTCCAACTCTTAAGAGTTTCTCTGAAAGACCACCACAATTTAGGGGAAAAGCCAGGAGGAAAGGACATTACATCATGTATAGAAGAGAAAAACCCAACTCAAAAAGCAGAGGAGAACAAAAGTGTCCATAAGGAAGCAAGGGAACTCTGTCCAGTGAAGGACATGCCTGGCTGTGATACCTTGCTCTGTCTTTGTATCTGTTCTCTGTTTCTGTCACATTCACATAGAATAATAGGTTGAGGATGGAAATATTGAGGCTTTGATATCTGTGATGAGCACTGATATAAGATGTATGTAGTGTTTTCTCCCAAGACGTCATGGAGACAGCTGACACCCAAATGAACATGACCTGAGGGCTTATGGTCCTATGACTGAGTCTACACTGTAAACTATGGGATAGCCAGGGAAGACTGGGGGAGGGGAATGAAAAATGGAGCCTTATTAATCAACAGGCTACGTCCAGAGACAAAGAAAGGGAACTGGAGATTACAGACATGGATACCTTTAACATCCTGTCTCTTAAGGCTGTGTGATGAATAATATCTTTAGGTCACTGTCGGTTGGTTGAAAACTTCACAAAGGGTAGGAGAGCCAGGCACGGCTTTAATTCTGGCACTTGGGTATAAGAGGCAGGTTGAGCTCTCTGAGTTCAAAGATAGACTGTCTGCATAGTGAATCACTGTCTACTAATAAACAAACAAACAAAATAAAGCAATAGAGAGATTTTTAAAAAATGTATATGGGTGTTTTACCTGCATGTATGTCTGGTACCCACAGAGGCCAGAAGAGGGCATCAGATCCCCTAGAATTGGAGTTACAGATGGTTGTAAGTAGCCATGTGGGTGTTGGAGAACTGAACTTGGGTCCTTTCCAACACTCAGTGTTCTTAATTGCTGAGCCACCTCCCCAGCTCTCGCTGTTTTTGTTTTGTTTTGTTTTGTTTTTGTTTTTGTTTTTTTGAGACAAGGTCTCAGTATGCAGCCAAGGATGGCCTCTAGCTCTCACTCCTCCTGCCTCAGCCTCCGGAATGCTGGTATTGCAGGTATGTGCTACCACATCCAGTGAGCAGAACAGATTTTAAGTCTTCCTGACTCAGGGCTGAGGATGGAGTGGGTGTCAGAACATTTGTTTAGCATGGAAGGGGCCCTGGGTTTAGTCCAGAGAGAGAGAGAGAGAGAGAGAGAGAGAGAGAGAGAGAGAGAGAGAGAGAGAGAGAGAGAGCAAACCCCACCAGGAAGAAGTGATTATGTTAGATGACAGAGAAGCCAGTACTCAGTACCTGGATATATGTGTTACACGTTGTACACAATGTATTGAAATGTTTCAAATGACACTGTATCCCATAAACACACAAATTTGCCATATGCCCATTAAGCATATTAGTAAAAATAAATGTAATAGAGTTAGAGAGCACCCTTTGTTTCCCTCTGTCCCTTCTCATTCCTCCTCAGCCTGGGTGCCTGGCTCACTCGGTGGGCTCTTCCTGCTCTGATTTGTTCTTTGAGCCATCCTCCTCGTGTTTTTTGCCGTTTCATTCTGCTTTGCTGAGTGCTTCTATGTTTGGGCCCTTTGTGTGGCTGAGAGTGGCCTGACTGGGCGGGTGGTGAATGCAGCTAGGCAGACAAACCCACTCCATCACCCCATTGGCTTCCTGTAGCAACCCCGCCCTGCCTGCTTAGTCTCCTCTGGACCAGGCGGTTTTGCTTTCAGAATGTGGTGCTTCATTTTTGTCTGCATTTCTGCCACCAACACCTGAAACTTAGACCCAGGCTCCCTGACAGACATGGCTATTTATAGTAACCATGCTGCAAGAGTGGGCCCCCTCCTGTGGTGCAGTGTGCACATAGTCATTCCTAGGGCCGCTGCTGCTTTTACACTACTTTTCATTTCATGCTTCATCCAGCCTGCTCTTTGTATAGTCATCACTATAAACCTGTGTCAGAGAGGTCCTGTGAGGCAAGCATCAAAAGACTGCACTCTGGAGATAATCTTCCTGGTCCAAGAGCTAATGCAGTGCCCCTTATAACGTATAGGAGGTGTGAGGAAAGAGTCCATTGAAAATGAAGTCTTCACTTTCCCCACTGAAAGAAAGGAAGAGTGCTGAGGGTATAGCTCAATGAGAGTGTAAGCGTGAGGCTCTGGGTTCAATTCCCAGCCCTAAGCAACACACACACACACACACACACACACACACACACACACACACACAGAGAGAGAGAGAGAGAGAGAGAGAGAGAGAGAGAATTTATTGGTCCTTCTCAAACATATATTAAAAATTCAATGATTAAATAAACCTCCTCCCATCTCCACAGTTCAGGAAGGTTTCCTTCAGGGATGTGGGAACCACTGCTTTGAAATGTAATCATCAAGGCAGATAAAACCTAATCTCCCACTATTCTAGAAGCACAGCGTCTACTTCAACCACCTGACTCCAAATTGCAAAACCCACTTAAGGTAATTGGTTCCATTCACTTAGTTATAACAAGAGTACAATTTCCTTTAGTGTTTGCTGTCCTTTGGAGAACTGCCTGTGACATGTAGTCTGTTCTTTTTTAATGCTTACATGGTAATAAAATTGCTCTCCACCATACTTTTATGTGGAGGATTTTCTGAGTGGCAAGGAGTTTTTCTTTATAATTCTATTTCTCCAGCTGTGGGCTTGGGTAAGTCGCTTAACTTCTGAGGTCGGTTTGAGGATAGCACATAGAAAGCATTAAGAATACTAGCTCTTAATCTGTGTGTGTGTGTATCTCTGTCTCTGTTTCCTGTTTCTCTCTCTCTCTCTCTCTCTCTCTGTGTATCACACACACACACATACACACACACACACACACACACACACACACACACACAGAGGACACAGGATACTGGAGCTTGGACCTAAGATACTAAGGTATCATGAATGAATGCAAGGCAAATGCCACTGAGCTACAGCCTCTATCCGTATGTATGTATGTATGTATGTATGTATGTATGTATGTATGTATGTGTGTAAATATATGTATTCATTCTCCCCCATTGGTTTTATGGTAGTACCATTAATTGCATCTTGGCAGATCAGAGTCCTATTTATTCTACTTATTCTACTTTAGTCTTGTTTGGTTAGGTTTAGCACATTTTTTCCCCCTAGCAAAATGCTGACTTTTCTCCTGATACCAAATCAGGAAGGTGTTGCCTTTCTCCTGGATTTGCAAATGCTGCTCTAACAGTACCTGGGCAGGACACAGTGGCACAGTCTTTTAATCTGCGACAGGCAGAACTCTATGGGGTCAAGACTAGTCTATATACTGAGTTCCAGGCCAGTCAAGGCATCATAGTGAGACCCTTCTAAAAAAATAAAAAAATAAGATATAAAATAAAACAAACACAAAAAGCAGTACGTAGCACCAAGGAGGTGTTTGGTCCTTAGTAAACCTGGCCCAGAGGCCCTCACCTTCATAGGACCAGTTGTTGTTGAAGGTCTGTGTCAAGGCCTGCATCTCTTGCAGCAGGACTGAGTCTGCCTGAGATGAGATTTCTCCTCCATCCTCCTCTTCCAGCACCTCCTCTTCCTCCTCAGGATCCGGGGAGTTCTGCATCATTTCTTCGATCTCCTCGATCACCTACAGATAAAGTACAAACTCCGTTCCCTCCTGGGAGTGTCCCAGTTCATTTGAGCACTCAGCAGCATTCCTAATTTGTTCTGTCTTCATAAATATTGGATCATAATAAAAATAGACCCAACCAAAAGCTTGCATAGTCTGTTTTTAATGTAAAGCACTCCCATGTAAACCTCTTCCAAGTGTTCCATTTAGTTGGATGCATTATTGGAAATTAGCCACTCTTTCAGGAAATGAAGCAGGGCTGCCTGGAAGTAAACATTTACTTCAGTTTGCTAAGCATTTTGTTTCTAAGTGGGAAAATATTTTATCTGTTCAACTACAACACAAAACCCAGTCCATTAATTGTCACATTTCTTGCAACAGGGGGGTGGAGTGAGGAGGGGGAGGTACACACACATTCCCAGAACAACCCGAATTGGAGAGGAAAACAGATGTTTCTCCAGAACTTTCCTGGACAGGAACTGAAGCTGTCCAGTAAAAAGTGAAGCTAAAGACCATAAAATGACAGAAGGAAGCCAATGCCTGTAGAGAAAAACAAACAAACAAACAAAAAACCCCAAAAAAAACAACAACAAAAAAATCCAGTAAGAACCCCAACTCTGAACTTGACTGTTAATGGGGCTCAGCTCCTACAAGTTGAGGGTCAAGATAGATGCTACCAAAAAGAGTGCCTGAACTACCGTGGACATTAGCTGCTTGTTCATAAAGAAAGGGAGTAAGCCGCCATGGACATTAGCTGCTTGTACATAAAGAAAGGGAGTAAGCCGCAAGCCCTCATGAGGAAGTGGTCTGGATGAGTTCCATGGCAAGAGCACTTCTTTCTTCCTTTTCCCAGTGCTGGGAGGAGCCTCTGTCACCTTTAGATGGTGATCTTGGAGGTAGGTCTCTTCCTGCCCAGCCGGACTGGAAGTAAAAGGACTTAACGTTCTTCTTTTGAAATAATCCCTGTTTTTTATTGGTTTTTGTTTTGTTTTGTTGTCTTTTCAAGACAGGGTTTCTCTGTGTAGCTCTGGCTGTCCTGGAACTCACTTCGTAGACCAGGCTGACCCCTAACTCGCTGGATCTGCCTGCTTCTGCCTCCCAAGTCCTGGTTTAAAGGCTTGTACCACCACACCCAGCCAATCTGTTTTTATATACAAACATTCTCAAATTGACCTGCAAATTTAGGATATGCCTAGTCTTGGAAGGGCATTTTATAAAATGTGACCAAATAACACAGTCCCCCTCTAGGGTTTTCTGGCTGAGAGTAATTTTCATGTGACTGTGATGGTTAATGCTGGTAATCAACTTGATAGCCTCTAAGTCATCTGGGAGACAAGCCTCTGAGCATGTCTGTGAGGTAGTTCTAGTTAGGTTAATTGAGGTGGCAAGAACTACCTTAACTATGGGCAGCACCATTCTACGGGCAGGGAGTCCTGGAGGAGGCAGGATTGAGAGAAGGAAACCAGGTGTGGTGGTACACACTGTTAATCCCTACACTTGGGGGAGAGGGCGGGAGGTGAACATCTGGATTCAAGGCCAAGTTGTTCTAAAAGAGGAGTTCGAGGTCAGCCAGGACTATACAGGCCGACCTGGTCCCAAAATTAAAACAGAAAGGAGAAATGGAGCTGAGCGCCAGCATTTATCTTCCTGCTTCTTGAATGTGTGACTGGCTGCCTCCAGTCCTGCTATGGTGACTTTACTGCCCTGGTGGGCTTCAAACTAGGAGCAAATGAACTCTTCCCACCTTAAGCTGGCTTTTGTTTAGTATTTGGTCAAACGAATGAAGAAAAGTGACTAATATAAAGCTGTCATTGAGGAACGATCCTTCCCTTCAAGTCACAATAAAAACTGCTGCCCCCGGGGCTGTAGTGGTGCTGCAGTTACAAGCACTTGCTGCTGCTCTCCCAGAGGACGTGGGTCCAGTTCCCAGCACTCACCTGGGAGCTCTTGTAACTTGCAACTACACCTCGGGGGATCTGATACCCTCTTGTAGCCTCTCTAGGCACCAGGCACCAGCATGCACAGAGACACTCACATGCAGACATAAAGTAAAAATAAATCTATTTTTAAAAAAGACTTTCAGCCCTTGCTGGGTATCTTGAGTTTGAAGCCAGCCTGGTCTACATTACAAGTCCCAGGCCAGACAAAAACAAAGCAAAACAGAACAAAGTAAGTCTTAGACATGTTCTTTTATGTTGTTCTCTGTGTAGCTTGGAGCCTGTCCTGGAACTCACTCTGTAGCCTGGGCTGGCCTGGGATTCACAGAGATCCACCTGCCTCTGCCTCCCCAGTGCTGAGCTTAAAGGTGCATGTCACCACCACCCAGCACTTTTTTTTGAGACAGGGTCTCATTCAACAAGACTGGTCAAGAACTTCTGATCCTCCTATACCTCCCAAACACTGTGTTTTCAACATGGATATGGTACCTGTTCTTGACATGATTTCCTACAACCCCTATTTTTTTCTTTCTTTCTGTTTTTTTTTTTTTTTTTTTTTTAGATTTACTTATTTATATGAATTATGTACAAGAGTGCTCTGTCTTCAGACGTGCCAGCAGAGGGCATCAGGATCCAATTGCAGATGGCTGTGAGCTGCCATGTGTTTGTTGGGAATCAAACTCAGGACCTCTGGAAAAGCAGCCAGTGCTCTTCATCACTGAGTTGTCTCTCCAGTCCCAATCCCCTATTCTTTACCCATATTAAATCCTACTTAAAAAAAAATAAAGAGATTAAAAGAAAAACCAATCCCACTTTCAGCTGTGGACACAAAGATGCACCTCTACTAAGATGCTCTTTCTGGCTCTGCTAGTTTCCAGCGGGGTGCATTCCAGTTCATGAAAGCTTGTATGGTGTCCAGCTCAAACAAGCACTTACAGATACTTGTTGGCTGAGAAAGTGAATAAGGAGATTCAACACTTCTGAAGTGAGAAATCACTAAAACTACAACATAATGAACTCTGCAAAGTGAAACATGGCTCCCCCCTCCACCACACACAGACAGAAGTGTCTCTAAGATTCCTTTTGGAAGGCTAAAACTTTTCAGGGTTCTATAATTATGATAAAATATTTATCACATAGAAACCTCATCTGTTACTGCTTCTTAAAAAAAAAAAAGAGCATTTATGACCCCTCCCTTAAGTGTCCAAGCTCCTGGTATAAGAAATCTATAGAAAACTGGGCATGGTGTCACACTCCTTTAATTCCAGCACTTGGGAGATCTCTGAGTTCCAGGACAGCCTAGTCAGAGACATCCTGTCTCAAAAAAATTAATAAACAGAAATAAACAAACAAGCAAAAAAGGCATTACACAAGAAATCTATTGAAGCTTCACAGGAAGTAAAGCCAGGAAACTAAACATGGCTCCAGCTCTCATCACCAACCGCTACAACTAAACTTGGTATAGGAATTATGTCCATGTCCACTGTAAGACAAACTGAGGCATAAAGAGAAAGGAACCTCTTATCAAAGATACCGAACTCATCAAGGCACCACAAGACTGTGCATCTTTCTTCTGACTTGGATGGATGTGCCTGCCAAGTATGCTCTCTTCCACCGCGTTCCTATTAGGACAAAAGGTTCCGGGAACGTGGGATGGGGTTCTCATTCATACCTGATCAGCTGTGAGTAGAGGCTCTTCATTGATGCCAGAATCATTTTCACTCTTCTCGTTGAACTCTTCCTCTTCCTTCTCATGGATCTGAAGGAGAGGGGAAGTGGCATTCTAACCATCAGCAGTAGATTCTCTGCCCCTAGACTAGCTGAAGGGCCCACTGTCTGAAGAGGGAACGTGGAGAGGAGTCTGAGTTTCACCTTGTTCCAAATCTGCTCTGTCACACAGGAGGCATTGCCAGCATGGCCAGAAGACAACAGGGTAGGGGTGAGCAGCATCATTCTGACTCAAGGGGACCAGCAGTGTTCTCTAACTTACAGACAGGTTCTCCTTGGATGAAGCAGGGACCTTCTCACAGTGAGTAACATTACAGCCTGCTCATGCAGCAAACACAGTTCTTTAAGTAGTGTCAGCTGGGCAGAGGGGTGTCCAGATGTTTATCTTAGTGGGCACTTTAGGAGGCTGGTTGTTTCCATTCAAATAGTCACAGATTTTAGAATGTGATAAAATGTTATCATTGGAATCCAGGTGTGGTTTCTTAGCTGATGAATCAACATGAGCTATATCACATGAACTATAAGAAAAGCTGAGCCAGGATGTGATAGTTCATGCCTATGATCCCAGTGTTCTACTGGAACCTTCAAAGCCCCATTCTTCTTTCCAAACACCACCCTCCCAGAGAATTTCCAAGAAAGAAAAGGCAAGAGAAAACCCAGTTCCAAATTCTTGGCAGCTAAGGCAGCTCCTCCCCTGAAGTTGCCAGAAGCCCAAGTCCCCACCTAAAGTACTCAGATTTTGGCCATACTTGGACACAGCCTAGTTTATGGTGGATATGTTATCACCCCTCTACTACAGACTATATAAGCTCCCTGCTTTAGTTCAGGTGTGTGACTTCTCCAGTATGGACCTCTGGGGCTGGAGAACTCACCTGGGAGTTGCTTTACTCAAATAAACCTGTTCTTTTACTTTTTCAATTCAACTTTATCTGGTTTACTGAATCAGAGAAACCTATTATCTTGATACAGAAAGCCTATTACCCACCCTGAGGAAGCCCCAGGGTGATCAGGAATTTAAGACCATCCTCCTACAATCCCTACCTAGCAACTTCAAGTCCAGCCTAGGTTCAAGAGATACTGTTTAAAAACAATGAACAATAAAAAACCAGGTGTGGTGATGCACACTTGTAAGACCAGCTCTCCAGAGGCAGAGGCAGGAGAGTTACAGAAAGTCCAAAGCTATCCAGGGTAATAGAGTAAGACCTTGTCAAAAAATAGGAAGGAAGGAAAAAAGGAAGGGAGGAAGGGAAGGACAAAGGAAGGGAGGGAGGAAAAAAGGGAGGGATAGAGGGAAGGAAGGAGACAAAGAGGGGAGAGGAAGGGGAGGAAGGAACAAAAGGGAAGGAATGAGAGGAAAGAAAAGAACAAAAAGGACAAACAAAAGCCTAAGAAAAACACTGAAAGGAGAATTCTGTTTAGCTCATTTGTCCCATGTCCCATGAACACTATAACCCTAAGATTCTAGAAGTTCACAAGATAGTTGTTATAATTCTGGCCTAGCAGGCCATATTGCAAATCGTTAACGGTCCAGAGTTCGCATTCACATCCTACACACATTCAGTCAATCAACCTAAAAACTTTTTCGTCCAGGAATCCAGTTGAAAATCACAGGAGTTTGCAAGAAAGATCCAGGAAATCCCTCCCCAGAGCCACCTCCCATGCAGGAGCCATTCTTCCTTGGTATCTAAGAGCTAACCTGTTGATTGGTCCATCCCCCAGGACACATCTTTTTATTTTAACAGGAAACACTGGGGTGAGGTCCCAGCTGTCATGCAGTCTAGCATCAAAACTTCCATCTTTGAGCTCCATTTTGGCAGGTACCCCCTAGCCATGCACATCCCCTCCTATCTCTGCCTAAAGCCAGGACATTGTCATTATTAAAAAAAAAAAATTAAGCAAATATATTTTGAATGCCATCTGTTCCCACGTGGAGAAAGGATAAGGCAGAGAGGAGAGGGAATCACCAGATAAGCTGGTGGGCAGATGGCAGCATCTATTTCTGCGATGGAATCCATATGCTTGTGTCTCTGCCAAGACTACCACCTGTGGTACCGCTTGTTTCCACAGCTCCCCACTGGGCGGAACAAAACTCCTGGGGCAACACTTTGTTCACAGTGACAGTGACATGGCAGGCAGAAGTTCCCAAGGATCAGGAGGTCCTGAGCTAGAAATGCGGCTCTTATTGAGAAATGGAGGATTTTGTTTTCTGTTTTTGAGTTACTTTTTTTTGTTTGTTTGTTTGTTTGTTTGTATTATTTATATGTGAGTGCTTTGTCTGTGTGTATGATGCAGGCCAGAAGAAGGCATCCGATCCCACTCTAGATGGTTGTGAGCCACTGTGTCATTGCTGGGAATTGACACTAGGAGGTCAGATACTTGCCTTGTGTCAAGCAGATGATAGCAGGTCTCTGGATGTGCTTTACTTTAACAGTATTGAAAAGAGCATATCAATTGCCCTGGGAGGGCCATAGCAACCAGTTGACCAATCAACTCAGGACAGGTCATCCAAACCCAGAAGTGCTCCAATCCTGAGACTGTTATATGCTCCTACATACTCCCCCTTCCTCTACCCAATAAATTCCCTGCCTTGAGGCTCCTTTGGGTCCTTCTCAATCTTCCTGCTGTGTGGGGCAGATGGAGGAATGGAGTTAATGCAGTTAACTCATTAAATAATAAAGACTCTTTACTTTTGTATTGGAATGGGTCTCTTGGTGATTTTGAGGTCAGAATTTGGACCACAACACCTGGAATTACTTTTATAAGCCTCTGACAGCATGTTACTCCATAAGTCAAATTCAGATATAAAGGGTTGAAATAAGGCTATGAAAATGCAATGTGTAGCTAGGTATGGTGGTATATACTTGTAATCCTGGTGGTATATACTTATAATCCTAAAGAACCTGTCTGACTCCACTTTGAAGGCAAGAGCCGTTCACGTATGAGTTTCCTAGAACCTGACCTTCCCTAATCCATGACCTTGACCTCCTCCTCCTTTTAAATTTTATGTGCATTGGCCATAGGTATCTGGTCCCCTGGAACTGGAACTACAGACAGTTGTGAGCTGCCATGTGGGTGCTGAGAATTGAACCCGGGTCCTCTGGAAGAGCAGTCAGTGTTCTTAACCACTGAGCCATCTCTCCAGCCCCTTCTTCTTTTGAGACACAGTTTCTCTATGTAGTTTTGGAGGCTGTCCTGGAACTCACTCTGTAGACCAGGCTGGACTTGAACTCACAGAGATCCCACTGCCTCTGTCTTGGAGAGCTGGGGGTAAAGGCTGTGTTACCAGGGCCCAGCCCTGTTGAGACTACCTTTACCAGCTGGGCATTGGTGGCATACACCTTTAGTCCTAGCACTCTAGAGGCAGGGGCAGGTGGATCTCTGTGAGTTCGAGACCAGCCTGGTCTACAAGAGCTAGTTTCAGGACAGCCTCCAAAGCCACAGAGGTCTTGAAAAACCAAAATAGAATACCTCTGCCCTCCTTGATCACACTTTGACCATGATGTTATGTTTTTTGAGATTTTTTTTTCTTCTGTATTTCCTTATTGCCCCTCTCTTCTGTAAACTTGCTTTGCAACTACTTCTGATTTTACTCCTTAAAATGGGCCCAAGAAATGGACTTGGGGCTACTCTCTTTGACCCAATTTGGTAGGCAGTCACTGATCAGCTCTTAGGTGCCCCCAATAGAAATCTAAATCTGGCTCACTTCAAATTTGGTCTTTTTCTTCCCAGCAGGATTAACAATACCGGGACCCAAGATGCTAGGAGAGGCTAGCCTGAGCTACATAGTGCAATCCTCTCTCAAAATAAAAAATAAACAAAAGACAGGGGACACAGCACAGTGACAAAGCCCTGGATTCCATCCCCAGCAATAAAAAAAAAAAAATTAAAAAAAAAAATGATGCCCTGAGACTACAGTTCAGGGGTAGAGTGCTTGCCTAACAAGTGAGGCAGAAGAAAGAGAGCTCAAGGTCATCCTCAAACTATTTCTACTCCAGGAGTTCAAGACCTGAGCTCCAGAAGACCAAAACCAAACACACGGAGAGGAGCGCTCACATTTTCTGAAACTAGACAGTTTCAATGCTTCTCCTTCACTAACTCAATATTGCACCTTTGACCTAGATCATCTCCCTCCGCAAGTTTCTGGCACAGGTGCCAGGATGGGTTCGTAGGAAGGAAGGCTCCCAGTTAAAGAACAGCTGTGTCCCAAGGCAGGCACTTCCAGAGCGCCTTTTCCTGTTGCCCTCTCAGGTACAAAGTTGATGGGTCTGAGTCTCAATTGTTAGAATAAGATAAAGAGATCTGGCCAGGAGTGGTGGCCTTTAATCCCGGCACTTGGGAGGCAGAGGCCAGCCTGGTCTACAAATCGAAGTCCAGGACAGCCAGGACTGTTACACAGAGAAACCCAGTCTCAGAAAAACAAAAACAAAACAAACAAACAAACAAACAAAACAAAAGATAAAGAGATCTGAAAGGTAATCACAGCCTTAGAAAAGCCATTGTGAGCCTTGTCACTGTCATGAGTACTATAGACGTCTATTCCTTGTTTTCTTATTTCTCAGAAATCAGCCATGGGGTAAAAAAAATAAAACAAAAGGCTCAGCACACACAGTGCACCCCAAGAGAGCCCCGGCTCCACCCTCCTCCTCTGCTCAGTCACAGGCCACATCCTCCCTAATGCAGGTCTCCTTCCTCTCTCTGGCTTGAGTTCTAACGCTCCATCCTGTCTCGCCTCGACCTGGGTTTTCCCCCCCCAATCCTCCCAGACTCTGCTTTGCTCTGACAGCTTCTGTCACAAACCTTTTCTCTTCACACAGACTCCACCAAATACAATGCCTTATCCTATCATGTGACACAGAGAAGAGAATCACTCCCTTGGCTACTTGTGTGGTGATGAGAAAGGCACTTGCTTTAAATGATCCACAAGACCTTCATGTGGCTCCATTTCCTTGTGGGCTAAACCTGACAGTCATTTGCATACTGTCAAAGTCAATGAGGCTCTTGTCAGGTCTTCCAGAATTAAGAAGACACAGA